ATGCAGGGCGAGGACGCGATCAGGGGAATAGGTGCCTTTGAGTTCGATTTGGATGGCGTCCCAGACATTGACTAGCCACCGGTATAGGCCCATGGAGCTGGCGAAAACTGGTAGTCGCTTTGGTTTCGGGAGAATTAACGTTCAAGGACAATTGGATGTGTCACAAAGGAGTTACTGGCCAGGCTAGCAATTACGATGAACCCACGATGGCAGTAGAGCCATCTTGGATATTTTTACAGATTGCGTACCTCGGTCAACTAAAACTGCCAAACAAATCGTACTCTTTATGTTTTGTTTGTTATTTTTATAAGTAAGTCAGCAACACATGGATTTTTTCATTTCGTTTTGCGATGACTCGCCACCACAGTGATGCTGCAGTGCATGTACCCAGCCTCAGGAGGAGATTTATGCAGGCGATGGAAAATTGTGCATCCACCACTAGCTGCCAAATGTATCTGTTAGCGAGTTGCCACTCCAATTTGTCTAATGTGTACAAACCCACACAATGTTTTGTCAGGAGGATCCAACTTTGTCTTTATTTTTTTTCATCGGAAACTCCAAATCCTTAAAAGTACTACTTCTGTATGGTATTATACTGTAGTTCGCCAGAACATGGCCACGTAATTCTACAAGTGTCGTATCTACAGCCACGATACCGTCCTCTGTTTGTTGGATACGAAGTATAACTTGATCATGTAGTAGTCGGGCTCTCCAGCCATGCAAATTCGAAAGAGTAGTCCGTTCCTGCCGAAGCTCACGTTAATCAACATCTAACAATGACAAACCATTCTGGTATACACCATACCATAGTGTGTCAGCGATATCTGTGTAGTGTAGAACACCCATAAAATAATTGCCGTCTGAACATGAATCATTTCTCGATCAAGAACGAAAACGAGCTGATGCAACGTGGAGAAGTTGAGTCGTCTCTTGAGCGTCAGAGTGAGCACAGTGAATGCTGTGAGTTCGACGAGGCTGTACAGTAACACGTTCAGCACCGTCTTAGCCAAATGCATCGAGTCCA